CTGACGCGACATTTGCGTGAGCAAGTACTCACTCTACATCATCACCTCTGGAGCGGTCCAATTGTCCTCGGTGAGCCAGCTCTGCCACCAGCATCGGCGTCGGTCGGCGTAAGCGGCGCGAACGGCGAGGAGGGCGAAAACGAGGCAAACATCGAAACGGGTCTCGTTCCAATGACCGAGGCGTGGAAGGCGATCGGGGTTGGGGCGTCACGACGCCATGCCGAAACGCAGACCTTTGAGGCTCCCGCCGAGTTGGTGTACACTCGGTTGGTAGAGCGGTCGGATGTGAAGTGGACGGAGGCGGCCGTTGAAGAGGCCGTCCAAACTGACGATCCGATGCCTGGAAAGCGGATTGTCGAACGGCGACAATTCGATGTCTCTGTCCAGATCGACCAGCCTCCGACAGGTTCCTTTGGACGGGCTGGTGCTTCTTCTTGCATCGAGACGCGGTCGCTTCTCTCCTTCGAGCTGGCGGCTGTGCCGACAGAGTCCAGGCCTGATTCCGGTCGTAATGTGGGCTCGGCCAGTGTCTCAGTTTCTTCGTTTTTCTCTTCCTCCTCTTCCCCCTCCTCCTCCTTCAGACTGGCAGGGCTATCGTCTGTCGGCCTTCAGGAGGTGGCGGATTCAGCCCGGTCAGTCTCTACCACGAGGGCAGACGCTCCCTCGCCTCAACAGTCCAGGCTTTCGCGTACAGACAGTGCCTCTTTGCTCTTCTGCCCCTTAGCCAGACAGCACCCCGCGGCACAACTTCTTGAGTCCGGGTCAAAGGTCAGAGATCAGGCCTCGGCTCCTCCGATTCATCAAGACCGCCGTATTAAGTTAGCCTCCTCCGACGACTGTTCGTCAAGCGATCGAGGCCGCGTCGACTCGATGAACCTTAAAGTCTCGGCTTCGTCTCACGATAGCAACAACGGCTCTTTTGAGCGTGTCTCCGATGGTCTGTCCGACTGCGACCGTTGTTTCGAGAGACAGCCCGTTGAAGCGGTTGAAGGTGCCGACTCGGAGATAGCGATTGTTTTGTGCGATTCACGTCTCCTCCAAACAGCCGAGGGCGAGTCAGTTCAAGTTGATGTGTCCGAGAACCGACCTCTTTCCGCTTTGGCTGATGCTTGGACGAGGGCGCCAGATAAAGATAAGATTGCTGAGCCTCCTCCTTTCCGGCCGACGGGCTCCGTAGCCTCACCGGTGCTGGTCGGTTTTATGCTCTCTGGCCGGCCGGATGACAGACTACAGCCAAATGAGGACTCGAACACCATCGCACCTGCAGTCTCGGTTGCTGCTGAGTCGTCTCTTTTGTCTCAACCTCCGCTTTCCGACCATTCGACTGGTGCTGCATCCTGTTCTACAAAGGCAGCCCTTT